TCCCGACCCATCCTCTGACTGGAGCTAATTCGCATTGCAGCAGAATCGGTGCTGGCGCCCTGTTGTGGCCGGGAAGAGGACCGCGTGGCGACCAGACAGCCTGGGAGCCTCGGGGCCGGGGACGCGCAGGACATGCCAGGCGCTGCCTGGTTTTCCCTGGGGAGCAAAACGCCCAGGGTTATTTGGCTGCCGGGCGGGGGTGGATTCGGGGTTGGCCTGGCGCGGGCTTCCAGCGCCTCTCGGGCTGCCACAGCCGGGCCAGGCCGGAGCGGCCAGCGAGTCTGGGCCGGCCTTCGCTCCTCCCTGGCCCCTCCTGATCTCTCCCTCTCTCCTCAGGCCGCTATTCGGTCTCGCAAACCCAGAGACTTAGTGGAAAGTGAGCACCTGCTCCACACCCTCCATAGCCCCACCCTGCTTTGTAGGGTACCCAGGTGGCAGTATCTGTACCTGGAAACATCCTTTCTTAGGGGTTGGGGGAACCAACCCAGAGTTCCCTCTGACCTACTTCGCGGAGGTGCCCTTTGCCCACCTCCTTCCCATGTCCACCTGTCAGAGGGCATGCACGTGAGGATCCCCAGGCCCCAACCTGCAGGGATTGCCTCTTATCCCGGAAAATTACAGTTTTCCCTGGATCAAGACTATCACTCCCTTGGGGCCCCCTGGGTTGGGTTGGGTAAACAGCCCTGACTCTTGATTGGAGACACCTGTCCCATTTTCCCAGCACTGTTCCAATTTCACTGTAAGGGGGAAATTCTGCTCTCGGTAAAGGAAACTTCATCCAGCACCTTCGGCCTGGTTCTGACAAGCTGCATGCAGGCTAGCTGCTCTCCTGGAAGCAGACCCCAAAGAGGTGAGAAGTCAGCCTGGCCGCCCCTTCAGCCACTCCTTCCGGTTGGATTGTCTTTCCCAGGCAATTGGCCTAGCAGTGGTTCTCAACCTTCCTAATGCCACGACCCTTTAATACAGTTCTTCATGTTGTGGTGACCCCCAACCATAAAATTATTTTCGTCGCTACTTCATAACTGTAATGTTGCTACTGTTATGAATCGTAATGTAAATATGATATGCTATATGTGTTTTCTGATGGTCGCGACCCACAGGTTGAGAACCGCTGGAAAGGCTCTCCAGGCTGAGGAAAGCAAATAGCGATTGATTGGCACTTAGAAACTCAGACTGAATTAACAAACCCAACTTCCAAGATGGATAACTGAGAACCTCTCTCAAGGTTGGGACACATCACCCAAATCTGAGGCTAATAGCACCTCCCTCAAACATATTTGGAGAACTATAATATATTTTATTTGGGTTAAAAGTTAGATGTGAAGAGTAGGAACCAGGCATGACTGGGATCCCAGTTGGTACCCTCCTATGCCCCACTCCTTCCCTTCTCTCCACTTCTTCTCCTCCTTCTTATTCAGTTCTTTCCTCTCTATTCCTGCTCACCCCCCAATTGCTCTTTGCCTAAGGATCAGTGATTTGGGAGACTTGTAAATCAGTATGGTTGTTTTTAACATGATGAAAAGCTTATCCGAAATATCATTCATCTTTGAAAACTTAAGAACTCTTTGGTCCAAAATCATATTGGTCAAAATATTTTATTAGGTGACTTCATATATATACATCCTACATGAAAAACTTGTTTAAGAACGAACAAGAATTATTGCATTCAAAACAAAACAAAAAAAATTCCTTTATTAAAAGTTTCCCATTGAATAGATTATTTGACAACACTTGGGTGTTAGAGGCCTCATCTCACAAATGCTGCAAAATTTTTGGCATCTTAAATTGTATACTTAGTTCTTAGAAATAGTTGAAAGAGAGTTACTTGCACATATTTCCTATCACTGATGATTAACATAAACCATGGATAGGATACACTACAATAGCACCTAGGAAAGCATCTCTGAATGAGGAACCACGCTGTAAAAAGCAGGCTGTCAGGGAGGCAAAGTTGAGAAGAGGGGTCAGCATGGCCCTTTCAGATCTCTTTGCAAAGAAGCAAAGACTACAGGAACCTTCAGTCATGAATTTGGGTCATAAAGAACCTGAGCATAACCTATCGAAAATTCCAGTTAGCCTGGACAATGTCTAAGGCCCACTCATTAACATGAGCCTTCTTCATGGAAGAACTCATCTAGTTCACATTATTAAATTCAAGGTAGAACCAAAACAAAATCTTTACAAAATTCCTCTAATTAAAAAAAAAGTGTGAAGAAATAGGAAAAAACAAATGGCAGTGAAGCATTAACACAAGAAAATAATTTACTAGAGAATAGGTAAAATTTATATTCAAATATATAATGTACCAAAAAAATAACTTCTATAAAACAAAAACGTAAAGATGCATTTGCTTAGGAAATACAGGGTGAGACAACAGAAGAAATTAAAACATGACCTGGAGGAGCTCAGGAAACAAGCAGGAACAAAACAACCATAAATATGAGGACTGAATTGGAAATGGCACAAGGGAAATTGCTAAAAACCTGAAAAATGTCTAAGGACCATTCCTTAAAAAATACAGAGGACAAAATCAAGAAAATGGTCAGCCCTCATATTAAGTTCTGCATCCTCAGATTCAACCAACCTTGCCTCAAAAATATATTTTTTTAAAGTTACCTTGTTGCTGACATGCACTATAGGAAATATAGTTAGTTAGGCCTATGACAGTTGCATCTGTACTGAAATGCACAGGGTTTTTTTTCTTGTCATTATTCCCTAAACAACATAGTATAACAACTATTTACATAGCACTTACATTGTATTAGATATTATAAGTAATCTAGAGATGACAAACTAAATGGTAGAATGTGCCAGGGTTATAGGCAAATACTGTACCATATATATATATAGCCAGTGACCGGACCGCTGAAATGACCGGAATGACCAGTCGCTATGATGCCCACTGCAGCCAGCCAACTGGCCCAATCAGGGCGTGGGGTCACCGACCAACCTCCCACGGCCCCTCCCCCCAGCCAGCCCCGCCCCTGATCAGCCTCTCCCACCCTGATGGGAAGGCAGGGCAGCCCAGCCAACTCCCCTCAGGCCCTTCCTCCTCCCCAGCTGGCCCTGTCCCCGATGGGCCTTCACCACTCGATTGGCCCACAGCCCCTCCACCTAGCAGGCCCCACCCCAGATTGGCCTCCCCACCTTGATCAGGGGCAGGACCTGTGGCCAACCACCTAAGGTCCCTCCCCTTGGCTAGCCCCGCCCCCTATGGGCCCCACTACTCCCTTTGGGGGTGGGGCCAACTGGCCCACAGCCCCTCCCCATAGCCAGCCCCACCCCCAACCGTCCCCCCAAA